TCCTCAATGCCTCCCCTTTGTTCTAAAGTTGTGTATATCGCGACATTTAATAATATTCGAATTTCTGAGTAACTCGCCGGCCCTTTGCCGTACAAGAATACAGGAGGAAAGTCTTCAATTTCAGTGTTCACAATACGGACTTCTACCGAAATCTAACCGCCTCTGCCGGCATCGGGATCATTGTCATATCCTTAGTAGTATGACTGCTGATTTGGCAGATCAAGCACTACCGCGCAAATACGCTCGTAACCTCTCCAAAGCCTTCCCGAGTTCGTTTCGTCCACGTCCGTCTGGGCCGATGCCCCAAAAACTGTCTGTGTCCGAGTTCTGTGTAAAATACAAGGTGTTGTTGAGTAATGTTGAGAGTCAATGCAGGGAAAGACTCGGAGGAACAGGAAAAGAGGAAAAGAAACAAATTCACGTACCTCAACGAGTTCCGCATTTCCCGTGGACACCAACTTTTCTCTAAGTTGTCTGTGTTGGGTGAATTTGAGGTAGAGCGTGAGTTCCATCTGAGGGGTTGGGAAACATGAAATCCATGATATGATTTGTGAATGTAAATCAGTTTTACTACGAACCTTTTCGACATTGACCTCTCTCCAGTCCGATCTCTGCTTCTCATGGAGACGATGGGCTTCAATGAGAGCTACACGGGGAAGATCCGAGCAAATGCGAATGTGTTCCGCGAGGTGGGGATCATGGTCGATGAACTGGCCGATTCAGAGAACAAGATACAGCATATATTTATATATGAGTCAAAAAACACACAATCATGATGTTCCCCACTGACCTTGAAAGCCTGAAAAAGATGCTCACTTGTAGGGTACATCTTCCCCTCATACGAAACAGCATGGCGAGAAAAGTTCGTGAACTCGAAATACGGCTGGTGTTTATGGTAGAAGAAGATTCGATTGCCATCGTGGTTGCCACGGCGGTGGTAGCAAAAACTTTCATCGTGCTCATTACTGTGACTGCTATTACCATTGTGGTGACCCCCGTTGAAGCCACCGATGTAGTTCTCAGTATAAGTACCATAACTCCAACTGGCGGCACCGGTACTGAAAGGTCCAGAGTCCAAATTGGTCCGGCTGAAGCTTGTTTGCACTAGCATGGGGTACCCGGGAATGACTGCGACAGCGGTAGTCGCACTTGGCACGATCGATAGCATGCTATGTACGACAGGTAGACCCAGACCAATCTCACCGTGGCTACTATGCCTCCCAGCGTCAGAACGATTATCTCGGTAAACACTAGCAGGGCTAGTACTAACGCTCGAGGGAACGATACCACGATCTCGCATGTAGACTTCGAGAGATGCAGTGGGTTCAGGTCGGTCGTGATTACTGTCTCGTGATGGGTTGGAGGGGTTACTATTGGAGATACTATGGCGGGCTGAGTGCCTAGTACTCAAAGGACCATTCACCGCCGAAATTGCCATCGAACGAGTAGTATCCTCCCTGGGAACGGGCCCGGAATAGATGGATACTCTACTCTCAGAGTCTCCTGGAAAATGCTCAGGCTGTTGGATAGTTAACCACGAAGAGCGGGAAGAGTTGGTGTTTGGCATGACTGATTGGTCGTTTGTGTACTGAAAGAAGGGGGACTCGGTGCAGAAAAAGAACAGAGGTAGTGAGCCATTTTATAGGGTTCTGTTGGAGGAAGTACTAGTAGAACAAAGTCCTTGCGGCGTCCATTGAATAGAAACAAGACTCACCTCGATAACTCAATGGTAAATGTGGGTCCTTACAGCAAACTGACAACTGACTCAAATGATGACCCTTCAATCATCTTTGACAAAAATAAAACAAGCACTTTGATAAGTGCTTCCACTAACACGCGGTCAAGGTGAGGTGAAGAGGAGGAGGAGGCAATGCTTTGGCCCTTGGGAAATATCGGGATGAATGACTATAGCAGTTTGCATCACTTCGAAATTGATTGATTTGGATGGGATAAAAGGTTGCTATGAGGAGAGAGAATAGTAAGTCGAAGACATAGAAATGTGATAGCAGTAGAAGAAGAAGAAGAAGGTAGTAAGGGAAGGGGAAGAAAAACAAAACAGACGAACAATATATGTAGAGACCGGGTCCGTTGCATAAACAAGATGGGTACCTGAAAATCGTGTGCTCCGAATTGCACTCCGGATTCGCCGAGTAATTTGCTAGGTATGGTATCAGTATATCAGTCGTGAGTCCCTCGAGAATGAACATACCATAGACTGGAATTGAATAAATTGAAAGAGGCTACGTTCAAATTGGTGTGCAATCGTTTCGAGCAATCCGGGGGTTCTCAGAACAAGTCCCCGCAGCCCCGAGACAGAATGCCATGTCAGAATCAGAAGACCCACCATATTGCAAGATGGGAAAAGTCGTTGCGATTTGCAAAACAAGGGAGTTTGAACAAAGAGGTAAATCAATTTTGACAGGCCCGATCTCAATTGAATAGGATAGTTTGTGGGTGGTTTGTGGGTCGACGTCAATCGGAGGTCAAAGTGTGTGAGCATCGAGGTTGATGTTCGGACACCAACCAATTTGAATTATCAATGAGTCAATGAGCCGTTTATATTCTTTTCATCGGCGCCTAAGACGAAATGTCTATGTACGCTGTTCTCAAGACATTTGTACTTTTCGTCTCATTCCCAACGGCTACTATATACAGTAACATCTGAGAAGCTTGATTCTTGACAGATGCAGCAGATGCAACGATGGATGCGCGTGGAGTTATGTATTGGCCTTTCTAGTTTCGTCTACTACTACCATTTTTTTTTGTCGATTGTTGAAAGGAAACCCGACGTTTCGGTATCTCTAAAAAAACAAAGCAAGTAACGCGATTACGGCCTGCCTCCCCTCACGCAAATCCTTCAAAAGGCGAGCCACTCACTCTCCTTAGTCCCTTGGGATTGTTCGACCTTTGTTTCACATCATCATCATGCAGCACCATATATCCAATGCACACTACCCAGTGTACCCCACAGTTTTTGGATTCCCAGTGGTAGTAGCAATGCCCATTTGTCAGGAAGTTATTGTTGCTGCACCGACTGACATGCATCCTGTGGCAACATGGCCAGCCTCACAGTATTCCTCTGGTCAAAATATGGTGGTCCCGAGGTCTCCTGCTGTGATTGCTCCGAGCCATAGTGTCAGATCCACGATATGCCAGTCCTCAGCTATGACAGTCTCTGTGTATGATGAGACAGGAACAACGTCCAACAATCCCCCCTGTCGTCTTCCGGGATGCTCGAAGCGTGCTCATAAGAATCCGGATGGAACATTTGGGGATTTTTGTTCAAGAAGACATCAACAGTATGTACCTGGCGATGATTTCAGGTCCCTCCACAGTCCGTCCAAAGTACTAAATTCTTCTTCTTCTAGTCAGTGCTTGCAAAAAGGCTGTAAACAGGAAGTTTACTGCAGTCCTGATGGAGCACTCGGGGATTATTGTTCAAAGGATCACATGAAGTACGTAGAAACATTTTCATTATCCCATTTCTCTGGAAACACTAACCTGACCTCCGCTTAGTCGTGGGGAGAATATCTGCATTGAATGCTTCGCCAAGACCGTCCGTCCCGAGCATATTTTCTGCAGCCAAACATGCATGTTCATCACCAAGTCCAAGGGACCGATACTTCTCAAGGTTCCCGCAGGCCATAAAGACTTTGATGATGGTGAGATCGTTTTTTTCATCTCTGGATCCCATTGCAGCTCATCCCGCCCTCGATTTCCAATTCCGAAATAGTTCGGGATCAATTTTACTACTCATGGACAGACCCGGATAGTCCATGTGTCAAACATATCTTCAAGATCATGTATCCAGAGGAAATGACAACAGCTTATCACAGGTACAAGTAAGGTATCTTCTCTATTCCTACCAATGCTTAGTTGTATTGGAATCTCTGGATCGGAGAAGGTGACTCTTTTTACCCTGTACATGTAGGAGGACCATCGAGGCACGTTCACATTTTGCTGCATTTCCCCCAATGAGTGCTGGGAACGAAGCTCAAAGTTGGCATGGGACAAACCGGGAGTGTCTGCTCGGTGAACGGGACCGCTCCCGCTTTTGTATTTCTAGCTCATGCTCACTTTGCTGCGTCATCAAATCCTCGTTCGATATCGGGTTCGTGAAAACAAATGTAGCGAGGTGGGGAGTTATTTTGTCTTTCTCTCTGACTTCTCCGCATTTTCGCATATTATTGAATATATCTCTCTGTTTTTGCTGATACTTCTGTTTCGTTCTATGAATCCTACTACACAGATTCGGCAGAGGAATCTATACGTCCCCCAGCGCATCAAAGTGGGTATTTGTGAAGTCATCCTAATTTGCATTATTTTTGATGGGATATCAGGGCGTCTAGCTATTCGCGGAATTTCGGACCAGCTGCAGCCACGAAATTGAAGGCGCTCCTCCTGAACAAGGTTCTTATTGGTAAAGGACACCTAATTCATGGGGACCATCCATCGTACCGAGAAGTTACCTCACCACCTCCAGGTTTTGATTCGGTACGTTCTCCACATTGTGCTTATATCATGGTCCACTAAAACAGGACACATTTGTTCAAACAGCTGGTGGTAGGGAAAGGAAACGGTGTAAACGATGACGAATACGTGGTCTTCACAAACGACGCTATCAGACCTTCTTTCCTTGTAATGTATGAAGACCATTAAGGGTGTATCACATTACACAGGACTGTCAGCATAAGTAGAAGAACCCTGGTATACCGTTATGCATATCCTACTATCCTTTTACATAGTCCCCATTTAGTTGTATATAGAGCGTAGTCTTGAGGACTAAGTACTGAGTTTCCAATTGTAATTTGCTTTGGTTTCTTCTCCGTTTCGATACATCAATCCGTTGAGACGTTCTTTCTGCTTGTGATCAAGCAGCGTTTTATAACTCCAGAGCTTCGAGCTCTTGTCGTCCTTCTACGAGTGTCTCTGCGTTGGAATCCTGATTTGGAATAGAAATTAGCCAAAAACAAAAAAGCAACCTGTCACCTCCGATTCAACGACGCCAGCAGGATTTGAACCTGCGCCCTCAAAGAGGAACAGATTTTTCATTGGTTCTAATCTGTCGCCGTAACCACTTGGCTATAGCGCCTTGAATATTGTGGCACTGTGATATCAGAATTCGAACTTTGAACAACGATGTAGAAGTTGAGGAAAATAGAATCCATAATTATAAAGAATGTATGTACATGAAAGACCCAAAACATATGCAGAGAGTGATTCAAAAGGAAATGCGATATATGAAAGAAGATGAAGAACAATAACTGACACACGCTGCTTCCTTCCCTAAACACACCATCCTCTCATCCATGGAAGCCGGAAAGTAAGGCAATACCGGTGGATGTTAATGGATGTCATCGACCCAGTGGACTCGAAACCCCGCTACTCTTGATCGCCGTGAACGTCACTCCACTTCCCCCAGGACTGACACTCCCAGCAGGCGAGCGTCCAACAGGAATCGCAGGAGGCTTTCTCCTCTTTGTCTGGATAGGTGGCGGCGGAGCACTTCGTCGTTCTTTCTGCTCTTGTGGTTGACTTGGTGAAATCGCAATATCGGAACTAGATTTAGGTTTGGAACTGAAATTTCCTCTAGTAGGCGAAGTGGTCAAGGACATTCCAGATAGAGAGGATAACACCAATGTGGAGTTTAATGACTGGCCTAACCCTCCGTGTTGGCTGTGATGATTATGATGATGGTGTGTCGAGTTAGGATCAGCGAACGCTCCTTCAACGTGGGCACTGTTAGCTGTTCCCTGACGCCGGGGTTGTCGAGGGATTGGACCTGAGTGGGAGGAAGACAGTGGTGGCTGCGAAGAAGTAGTAGTGGAAGAGGGAGGCGGAGAGACGATATTAATCGGCGGAGGTGGGGGTGGATGCAGACGTGAACGTGGAGGTTCAGAGGGTGCAGCAGTGGACGCGACAACATGTAGACTATTTCCGCTATTTGCACTGCTGAAACTTGCATTGCTAGCATTACTTCCTCTCCGGGCGCTCTCGAAATAGAAGGGTGAACGAGGAGATGGGAGTGCGGGCATTTCATCAGGAACTCCAGTACCGGGGTTGTTGTAATTGCTGTGCTCAGTAACACCCCCATTTCGACTTTTTTTGAATTCCATGCTCTTGCTCGATTTGAGCGTACGAGGTGCTGAAGATGGTGCTGAAGATGTCGTGCTGGTGTTAGTAAGAGCACCGGCAGTCGTGGATAATGATGACCCGACACCGAGGTGCGAGCGTGCCCCATTTACTTTGTTCGTCGTATGCGTCGTAACAGTCGTATCAGCGACATTCCAACTAAGTTCACTGTCTTTATCGTCGTCTTCATTGACACCCTTTGCCTCCTTAACCTGTTTCTGCCTCACCAATCCTACACACCATTCACCCCCAAGGCATCTTTGCACCAGCCTCATTGTGATCGGATTCACGTCGCGTACGTTAGATGTGCGTATAAGTGATTCGAGCATGTAGAGGATCTGTGGACGTTTGTAAGGGATTGTGCGAAGTTGAGTTTTGGTGAGGAGGGGGTGAAGGACGCGAAGGTACGTATGTCGGAGCTAAAATCAATATGGTAAATAGGATATCACAGACGGATCAGGTGCAGAAATGATGTACCGAATCACTATCATCATCCAGATCAGCTAGTTCGCGTAAGAAAACGTCGACCAGTACACAGAGATCGTTAGTATAAAAATACTCTTCGGTGCCTTTGGTAGTAAAAATGAGATAGAGCAGTTTCAACACAAGAAGTTGCATGCAAAGATCTTCTGGCGTGCGTTCTAAGAAATATTGGGTCAGTTTGCAATATGGAAGAAGTGTGCACCTACGAGCGCGATTTAACATGAAGATCATGTTTTCTCCAAAAGCCTGGCTTGAGCCTAGCCGCCTCATCAGTACCCTCATTACTCGATTCTTATTCTCCGGGGACGATTGGTGATGTCGATTTGCGCCATTCCCATTCGTCCCGGCTTCATCTCCAAGAGATGCCACCATAAACTGTTCGTTGAGCGCCACAATTAGTTTGATGACAGAATAATTGAACGTGTCATCCTGCATGTGCCTTGTCTGTTCCACCAAATCGAACAAGTAGTCGAGGAAAGAGTCATCAAAGATCCGGAGATCCTGAATAGACAGTTTCTGCACCCTACACATTTCATAGAGTAATCGAACGCCTAAGCTCCGTAGTTTAGCTTCAATCGGTACAGGAACATTCGCGCCACTGTATCCGGACCCTGAACCAACTCCCGCAGAGAGGCCAAAATATGTATCCTCCACATCCGAGTCGATTTCCACTAAGATATGGTCCATAAGAACCGGAAGAAGTGGTTGCCAGCGTTTATGTGAACGGAAAAAATCTGAGCGTCGCCGGCCGAAGCTGAGTAGAACGTGGAAACAGATGAATTGGAAGTGGGGATTGGTGTTGGATTGTGCTTCAGATGTGACAATATCACACATGCGTTCAGAGTGAAACACGAATAGCTCAGTATCGAGGAGCATGTTACATGCGTGTTCCAGTTGGAAAGGGCTTTGCAAGTATTGTTCTATTATAAAAGTATGTGAGCTCCAGTACAGTGGTAAACCTCAGCGTTCACCCACCATGATACGCCGCGCACAATGATAATGACCTCTTTAGTGTCAGATCCAGCTGCTCCAAAGTCGGTATGGCTTCTTTTGTAATCACCAGTATATCCTCCAGTTCTAGAAATGATTTGGTGAGATATTTAACCGCCTTCTCAAATGTCTTCGAGACTAACACACCGGACCAGAATTGCTGAGCGTTATCCACGAGATAGACAATGCCCAAATCGTCTTCCATTGTGATTGCAGGCATGGCGATACTGGAATCACTTTCTTTGGATTGTCGGTATGGCATTCCCTGGGATATACTCCAATAATGCAGGTCAAGTGCAGGATCTGAAGGTGGTAACGAATGATGTCAAGAAACGACATCAAATTTTTACGAAGCCTGAAGCGTGACTGCACAGTAGGCGCTGGAGTGTAATTCCATGGGCGCTATAGCCAAGTGGTTACGGCGACAGATTAGAATAAAACTCGTACTCATCTGTTCCTCTTTGAGGGCGCAGGTTCAAATCCTGCTGGCGTCGTGATGGATTCTTTTGTCTTTTTGGTCTTCCTCCTATTCTACACTTATCGTCAACATGTCAGTCGAATTGCCACCTGTTGTTGTTGCACCATTGAATTTGGCACAGATTTATATTACAACTGTGCGGATACACAAAGGTTTGAACGAAGGATCAGTTGAAAGTCTGACACTTTGACACCACTCGTCTGAAAGCCAAACTAAGGCTCATCCTCGTGTATCATTACCCAGACCTAGAACATTTGAGTCCCGTAACGGACCACTACCAGCACTGTTTCCGTCCATTCTACTCGTCCGGCTTGTTATACCATCCATTCCAGTTATCCCACTGAGCATTGACCCCCCATTCAAATTCCCCTGCTCAACCTCGACATTTGGGAATCCACCGTACTGTCTTGATGGAATAATGATCGGCTCGATGTATATACTCTCCCTCGTATAAGAACTTATCGTTGGCGAAGGTGTATATCTCTTTGGTGCCTTTCCGATACTCTTAAATCGAGGTGCGGAGCGAGATCGACGCTGACTAGAACCGGGTAGATGAGCAGGATCAGAGCCTGAGAGCGGGTGGATAGATGAAGGTAAAGAGATCTTTCTACGCATCGCTCGTTCGATGGTACTTTCTTCAGAGTACGAGTTAATGCTTTCATTGTACTTGCCTGAATCGGGAGGTTGAAGCCAAGATAGATCAAGTGTTTCTATGCTTTTCCCTCGATCACGGTAATCAAGGTACTGACTTGGACTACGGATGGAACTTTCTCGCAAAGGCAGTTCAGAAGGAACTACGCTAGCCCTAGTCCTGTTTCGGGAACCAACGGCCGCCAAATCTCTTTTCTCCGCGTCGTGTTTGAAAGGATCCTCCGTCTGACCCGTGGTAGGGGTGAATTGGGAATACGACGATGGGCGAGGGGATGATTCCGCGGGACGAGCAAAGAGGAAGTCTTTCGTAGTAGTGGGAGCAGTAGAAAGAGCGATGCTCATTTGGTGCGCATGTTCGGTGGTACCTAACGGGGTGGGTAGTTTAACACCAATTTGGGTGTCTTCGTCAACGAACGGGTCTATAGATGCCGGTGCTAGGATAAGGGACGCTCGGGGAACAGGTTTCCGGTGGAAGGAGTTGCTAATAGACAAACTGGCGCCCTGATTTCCCTTGCCCTTCAGTTCAGATGACGCAGATCTCGCAACAACGTGAAAGGAATCCTGCAAAGCCATCTGGGAAGCCTTGGTTACTCTGGGTGGAATCCCAGGGAATTTAGACGACAAACTCCCTCCAGCGCCATGACTGATTGAATTGACGGAGTCTCTGAATCCAGAGTTTGCGCTGAAATTGGAGACGTCTCTGGTGTGCGCAAAGACGTTGTGAACGACAATTGCTTCATGTTCTGGCCTAGACCGAGATGGATATTCAAATTCCGAAACGCCACCGGGAGCCTGGGGTAGCTTTAGCATCTCTGGCATGGAAAGGATATGTGTGTGACGCGTCATCGTTGAATTAGCGTAATATGAAGATCTCCGCGAGGGTGCTGTCGAAAGCCACTCCGAGGCCGGACGAACCTTAACGCTTTCAACAATTTCAGTAGGACTAGGTATATCTAGGGCAGAAAACCGCATTTCAAGAGTAGGAGCTTGGCCTGAAGCAGCATTGAAATGGATGGTGACACGCTCTCCGGGAACCATGGGAACGGGTGAAGAGAATAATCTAGGAGGATCCTTTCCACGGAAAGCATCGGATGCTGCTTGGATTGCGCCAGGAGAAAGTTGACGGAAGGTGGAGAGGCGAGGGTCAGAGATGAGAGGTCGGAGACGGGAACCACGGAATGACCGTTCACGTTTTCCAGCGATAATTTCTTCGCGGACTTGTTGAAAGTCTTCGGATACATCGAGTCTATTAGTTTGTAAGCGACTACATCACATATCAATCAACGCATTGAAAATGCACCCTTTTAACAAACCGATGATCAATAAAGCCCTTCCAAGGAAACGCAGAATTCTCCTTGCCAGCACTACCCCGAACTGTGGCGGCACGAATCCAATGGCACTCTCTACAGCACCCAATTTGATTCCGAGAGTGACCCAGCCGGTGCCCTTGATCAACAAAGCCTCATCGGTATCCGAAGACTCTATCCGCTGCTGCTCCAAGAACGCCTTGGCTAGCCGGAAAAAGGCAAATGAAAAGTTAAGTGCTTGATAAACTGTAATGAAACCAAGGTCGAAGTCGGTGAAGATAGTCCAAAGCGTCTTGTTTTGAGGATTACTGAAGCCGACAGCAACTGTTGTACCTATGACTGGTATATAGGGCTCAGATGATGAGGTGCAGATGATTGGGGATGGATGAAGAACTCACTTCGGTGGGTGATACCGATGAAAGAAGCCACTTCGTTGAATACAATCACAACGGGGATGAGGGTGATAAGCATGAATTTCCCAGAAATCTGGAGTCGTTGAGGAATACCATCCAAAAATTCGGTACAGGTAAAAAAACATAGAAAGATAGTATACAAAAGCAGAGGAATAGAAGATAATGCACCTGTATGGGCGACCAATGAGGAAAGAATTCAGATACTGATAGGACTTTATGTGGATCTCACCAATGACAATGTCGATAACCTTAAAAACTGCGAGGTCATCCCGCACAGCGGGGATAATGTGAGACAACAACTCAAGCAAAGCCAGTGCAAAATAGATCCAGCCTTCAAATGTTAGGAAAATGTGCCTCCTGCGCGATAAATCGATATGTATGAGATATCATATTTTCACATTCCAAAGACAGACACTCACCGGTCAGAATCCCACGTCCTGAATATCAAAGACGAGGCAAACAGGAACTCCACAGCAGTAGGAATGAACAAGGCAATACTCTCAGTCTCGGTCAAAGACTCGCAGCGAAGAATCAAGGCCTGAGATAGACAGAGGGTTCCCATCTAATAGATAAAGTATTGCGTATGGTCGGATAGCTTAAATGAACTAAAGCATTTCAAGATGATCCGTCTAGCTGTGATTTAATGGTTGAGCCCGAGTTGAAGGTGGAACAAATGAAGGCGAAGCAAAAGGAATGGACTGGCAGGCTTGCTGCCACGCACGACCTGCAACGAGAACGAAAAGACGAAAGGGAAGAAAAAGAATCAATCTGTAGATGCAGAAGCAAAACGAAATTGTGAGAAAGAAGTCGAGGTAACCATTCAATTTCATTGGTCGCGGTTGCCACATCTCCATCAGACTTGGAACTGCCAGTGCCAATCAATTGACCTATCAATGCCCCCGTATCGGACAGGACCGGACCTGTGATAGTATTAATATGCAAATGCTATCCCGAACTTACTATGTAGGTTTAAATCCCTGGTCAGGTAAAGGAAAACGACTATGTCGTTCGACCTAAAATATGAAATACTCCACCCAAACATAGATGGCCCGAACTTTGACTAGGAGATATGTACATATGGTTGATGGCAATTGGAGTGATATATCAATACTTAGCACTAGCACTCAGTCTTGAAGGGGAAGGCATGACGACCAGTGCTTACCTGCTCATGCACATAATCCCGTCGAATCTGCAAACCCGTACAATCAACCAATAAATGACACGGGAAGAAATTCGTGTTGGGAACATGAGGGGACATGCAATCAGCTGAGATTGCGCAGATCGGATACTCAAGTGTACTGAGTACTGTACGACTACGCAATGTATAGAGAAATGAAGTCGTATCAAGTCTGTTCCACCAGGACCACTTTTTTGCGTTCTGGCTTGGGCTTGCTTTCCCCCGCACGGGTGTGTTTCCTCCTGCGTTCCTCCTTGACCCTTTTCGATTCGAGCATAGTATTCTTGAGTTTGTTGGCCGTATACACAGGTTTTGGTAGATGCCTCGTTCTAATTGAGAGATCAGTCAAACATGTCGACAGCAGGCAGATGATAGATGGCACTCACCGCACAACCTTTCCAACTTCTTTGTCCATCTTCCATCGGTCCACGAGGCTGCTTCGGTACTCGACTGCTGCTCTTTCTCTAGCGGTGACAATTCCAAGCCGTTCAGAAGCTTTTCCTTTCCATATACGAACGTTCCCATCGTCAGAGCCTGATAGAACGAAGCGCGCGTCAGTGGTGAAAAGAGTGGAGGTCACTCTGTTTCAGACAGTATTTAGCCAAGAGTATAGGCTATGAATATCAGACAAACCTCTGCATTCGCTTCGTATGATACACCTCCGGTGAATGCCCTTGACCTGTTTGCCATATTCGCACCGTACGATCCCATCCTCCAGAAACAAACTCAGTCCCTGTCGGAGACCAGTCGCAACTCATCACTGCGGCCACATGCCCTTTATAAATCAGACTGGGCGCATCGAGACGTCGAATATCGAAGGTGTAGAGGTTGTGGTCTTCAGAAGCTAAGAGGATATTGGTAGGGAACGTTGGTGACCACGAAAGAGCATTGGCGCGCATTTGCATGACTACTCGACGTTCTGCTTTCCCTGTACGGATATCGTACAGGGTAAATGTACGGTCAGAGCCGACAGAGGCAAGGATTGATGATTCGCTGAGGTTGAAGCGTACTGAGGAGATGGTTTCGGTAGACGTTGGAAAAGTCAGATTCGAAATGGGGGCACTCCTGTCAAAAGCATTGGCTGATACGAAGTAAGGGATATAAGAAACTGACTTGGTTTCGTCCCATATCTGTACAAGAGTCGAAGCCGTCGCAAATATGGACGAGGATCTTTGGTGATCTATTGAACTAAGAGATCGCCTTGAGATTTGTATGAAAACGAAAAATATAGAGCACACTTGAAAGCATATTTTCCAGGAAAAACATTCACAGGTTCGTCCTGCAAGATTGGAATTAGGTTTTTCACTTTCAAAAAAGAGCTACGAACTGATCCAATCTTCCACAATTTGACATTGCAGTCAACACCGCAGCTGAGCAGTCGAGAGTCTCCGACTAAGCTCAGGCCCGTTACTTTCCCTTTATGTCCCTGCGGTAGCTGTGCCATTTGGATCCTTTGGGAAAGATTGTG